AGAGTGTGAAGGAATAAGGGAAGCAAACTAAAGAATCAGAAAAGGAGACGTTAAATAAGTCAGCAAAACCAGTCTAGAATTTCATCAGTGACATTTGGAGTGAATGAAATACAAGGAGGGTAAAAGTGGTTCTAAAAAAAAAATAATATCGTTTTAAGCTCTTAGGAAAGCATCTTTCACAACTATAGGAATACTGTACAATCTGAGTAAGAGTGATATCCATATCTTTTCATCCCATTCTTCCTTGATTTTCTTTAATTGTTACCTCCAAATTTTTTAAAAAGGTGTCTTTTATGAAATAATAAGTTGGTATAATATGTATGTGTATATGATTCACTGCACCGGATATGCCAGGACTTAAATACAAAGGTGTAGACTTGCAATTATCCAGGGAGTGTAATTAGAGAGAAGTGATTAAAACAGTAGTCTTTGTTCATGTTCAAAAGAGTAAACCTTGTCAATACTATTGAAGCTAAACACCATTCCTATTTTTGTAAATGCTGGAAATATTTGTTACTATGGGTTTTCATATGAATCGTCCTGTTTGTGGGATACAAAATGTGTAACTAAAATTAGGGAGATGAAAATAATATGACTGTTATTGGGAGAACAAAACTAATAATACTTATACAAATCAATGAAAACGCTAGGGACATTTATTACTCTGCTACAGTGGCTTGTTATCAGTCTGAATAGGGATATATGATGTTTGAGATAGCATTTTTTTTCCACAAACACTCAAGGAAGAATCAGACTAGCCATGATCTATTGTTATTAGAATGGGTACAACCATGGTTTATCAGGGAGTCCTTATTTCATTGTGAAAAACTCATTATTGGTAGTGACTTGTTAGTTCCATTTTAAAAATTATTTCAGTGCCACTGTCAATTGTTATAACTGTCAACTACTTTATGTGTTAAGTTGGCACTGTTGCCAAGTTGTATACTTTGAGCCTTTGGGGACTTGTCTAAATATTACCTAGAGAATAATCATATAAGTATCTTGTTTTATAATATGCCTCTGTGTATATATGTCTGTGCTCAATGCCTCAAGAATCTCTGATTTCATTAGGGCACATATCAGTGTACCATATCAGTGCACACTTCTTCCACTGATGAAAATCTTTACCCTGTTATACCTGAGCAGATAATTTTTTAAAATAAGTTGTGAGTGAAAAATATCTATCAACCAGTAGTCAACTTCTAATAATGAGTCTCTTATCAGTGAAACTTTCCACCCTAAGGAAATGTTAGCTATTACTACTACTACTAGTACTACTACTAGTACATTTTTAAGGCATTCTAACAAGGAAAGAACTAGATGGACAAAAGGCTATAAATATTTAGAGATTGTAGAATTCATGAAGACGTATCTTTTGTTAATTTTAAAGGTTCAATTTTGTATCTAAAAGGTAAAAGGTGTTCTGTATCAAAAAATCTCCAGGTTGAGCTATTCATGAGCTTTAACCCAAGTAGCAATTTTCAGTCAGCTGAAACAATGACTAACCCTGGGCTTTCATGTTAAAAAAAATGTAATCAGAAAGGTCAATGAGAAAATAGGGAACCTAGCAGTGTCAGGTAATGTCTTTACTCCAGAAGGAAGTCAAAAGGAAAAGGGTGAGGCTCCAGAGAGAAAATATCATAACAGGAAGGTTTTGTTCCAAAAGAAAGGTTTTCCTGATTAATACTAACTGTTGAAAGCTCAAAGGAGTCACTATCTGGGGCATTGCTACCTTATGGCTCTCAACAAAGCAAAGAATAAAAAGGCAGTGCTAACTCTAAATTATACACATAGGGTACTGTTTGATTTATATACAGGCCTTTAACTCAGCAATAGGTTGTCTTTCAAACTGTCTATTTGTAAGTTGGCTTACCTGGAACACATTTTCCACAGTAGCAGTGCTATAAATGGTGGCTAAATTCTCAGTTCTGCTCATTCTAGTCTAGGTTACTCACAATGTACCTTAAGTATAACACCAGTCACTTGAATTCATCTATCATTTTCTATCTTGTGAGAATGGAAAGTCTGTTCAGAATTTTAACTACTCTTCCCCTCTCTTGTCACTGAGCAATCTCCCTCACTTTGCATAACCCCTGGTGGAAGCTTTTTATCATAGTTTATATTTAAGTACTGACAATAATTGTTTACAAATAATGTCACATATATCAGTTGAGCCTCACAGCAAGGCTATGTAGCAAGTAGTAAAAATATTAACTCCATTTTACAGGTAGAGAGGCAGCATAGAATAAGAGGTAGAATGCTGGCCACAGTGGCTTGGGTTCAGGCCTTGTTTCTGACATATACTTTTTGCAAGACCCTGGGAAAGTAATTCTCACTTTCAGTGCTCCAGACCACAGGTGTCAAACCTGCAGCCCTCAGACTTTGAGGAAAGCAACACTCCTAAACCAGATTAAAATGTAAGTGGGAAACAACTAAATAAATGAAAATACAATAAAACAGAATTAACATTACATATTAAAATTGTTGATATGTGTCTCACAGAAATCCTTACGTATGGATTAGTGACCTCTGTTTCTATTTGAAATTTACACCACTGCTATGGATAACAATGACAATAATAATGGTGATGGTGATGGTAGCTGGCATTTATAGAGAGATTTAAGGTTTACAAAGTGCTTTACAAATAGGTTCATTTTATCCTCACAACAAGCCCTGTGAGGAAGGTGTCATTATTACTCCCTCCACCCCTACATTTTACAGATGAGGAACTTGAGGCTAAAACAGGTTTAGTGACTTGCCCAGTGTCACATAGCCACCAAATGTTTGAGGCAGGATTTGAATTATGGTCTCCTCAACTACAGGTCCAGCCTCCTATTTATCCACTGTGCCAGCTAGCTGCCTCTAGACAATTCTAAGACTATAAGTTGCAGAGAATGTAATAACTTATATTGGTAGAGAGTGCTTCCTCAGCTGTGAGTTCCCTACTCCTATCAAATCTCAGGCCCAATACCTCTCCACACCCTGTTTTACAGGTGAAAAAACTAAAGCCCAGAAAGTAGATGTGAATTGTTTTCCTAGGTCATGAGTAGGGGAGGGAGTCAAGTCTCAAACGCAGATTGTCTAATTCCAGGCTCAATAATGTTTATGCAAAATTATCCCCTAAAGAACCAAAGGATTTGAAAGAATTGAACAATGAAGGCCGAATAAAGCAAAAAGAAAAGATGCAGAGCCCAGCCTCAAAGAAAATAAAATTGCTATAGCATCAGCATATTGTTTTGGTGTTTCCTACTTAGTTGCCTTTCTTTCCCTCTAACCCTGGTGAGAATCAATATGGAGTGAGCCTGGTCCAAAGGTCTGCACATGATAATCAATTAAGGGAGTTGGCTTAGAGCAGTGAATGAAGCTCATTCTCTAGCAGAGGAAATTCCCCAGCTGCTGGCCACCTAGGTGGCCACTAACAAAGGAATTTTATTTTAATGCATCCCTTCCAAAACTATGCCACAAAGCCCTTGACAAGAGCATGGAGAAAAATTAAGTCCATCTCAAAAAATCCTATAAAGGTATAAACTCTGGCCCCCTGAAATGCCTGGTGCTTTGGGAAGGCACTGCCCATATGCATCATGCTGTTAGAGCATCTACATTGAAGGTGATTCTACTCCTATCTATATGTTTTCTGAATATTCCAAAGGATATTTATGCCAGCCTGACCCTCCCCCTACTCTTTATCTAAGTTAGAATCAGGCATGTCTCCACGAAAATTGCTCAGGTTTGAACTGCCCCCTCTCTTAAAATAGCATTACTTTCCAAAAGGAAACTCAATGCATGTTTCTGGATTATGTGGTTTCAGAGCCACCATTCTACTAATATTTACTCTGGAAATTAATTTGACCTTATCAAACCTTCGGGAGAAGTAGGTTCACTAACCTGTGCTTTGGAGACCACAGCAAGTAATCTTGGCATTATTGTCATTAACATGGTGCAAAGACCAAAGATAAAGTTTAAAGAGATGTAAGAGATGAAAGCCACATCAGAACTGGAAAAGATTCGGGATAGAAGATACATCCATGGTAGAGTGGCATAACTACAAAAGAAAATGGACAAGAATATAGCATTATTAGACAATTACTGCAAATTCTATTATAACATATTTACAACTAATCTATGCATAAATTAGACCTGTGGTTCCACTGACATAAGGAATTCTCAGATTATAAAGAACTTCCATAAACACAGATCAGCAGCTTCATCACCTGCTTTAGTAGAGCAGAGAGAATTTACGTGATATGGCCATGGAGAAACAGGCAGGACAAGAACCCAGGTCTTCTTGACTCTAAAATCACCTTCTATCCATTATAATATGTTGTCTCCTTATATATTACTTATCAACATCCATATGTACATATATAAAATACTGTTCACATAAGAGATTATAAGCTGCATAAATTAGTTAATTTATAAATTGTCGAAATGGCCTTTCGTTTCATCAAACAAAGGAGAAAACCATCTCTAACATTATCCACAGGTCCCTGAAGTCCAAATTTGATATGCAGGATAACATAAAGTGGAGTTAAAAAGATGCACATTGAAATCTAACCATGCTGTTCTCTGGAAAATTTTCCCTAGCATCAGCTAGGAAAGTGCTCAATAAGTCCTTGAAACAAACAGGTTTTAAAATAATAATAATAACTTCTTGGATGAGCCAAGGATCTGGAGTCCTGGCTTCATTTGGCTTTCCCACTCAGTTTCTTGATTTTTCAGAACCATTTCAGCCAGTTACAGGGAGCTGACATTTAGAACTATATTCCTTCAGAATGCCACCTGAGGAGAATGTGACTTTAACTTTGAAAGCATTGCCATTTCCCTAAGAGTTCCACATATCAGCCCTTCCTTCTCCTTTAACCCCCCTCCCCACCCACCTATGCACAAGATAACAGTACTGTCAGGATGTGTGTCATTTTTATCATGGAATGACGTATTACTTTAGCCTGCACAACCTCAGTGTGGTTTAAATAACTGAGGTTTTCCTAATGTTTTACCAGTCCCTGAAAATGATGACAGTGCAGCATGAAGTGAATGATGCCAAATCCTTAAGAGCTGCCAAAGATACAGATTTCTTAGTGTGTTCCCTGTATTCTTAAGACATCCATTATGTTCTGAATTCATTAATCAGTCACACTGTGGCATTCATACATTTCAAAAAATAACAAGTCAAAAATGTCACAGATGAAGTTATATGAATTTCTTACAAATGACATGTAGTATCCATCAGCCTCATAATTGGGGGAGGAAAATTTTAGAAGTTCCTTACTTATAAGGCATTCAGAGAACAGAGAATGTATTCAACGAAAAGCTTTAAAGTAATGACTATGTAAAAAAAATCACATTAGGAAACAAGCTAAAGACATTCACTCCCTTATAATATCTAAATTATGACTTTCAGATAAATGGGAATGTCTGAAAATGGAAGCACATACACTTATTGACATTTCTAGATGCATAAAAGTATAAATTGAATCTATGCATTTCCTAAAGCACAGGTCTGGATCATATCACTCTATGGTTCAAAAAAAAAATGAGTGGCTTCCTTCTGCTACTAGGATAAAATACAAACTCTTCTGTTTGGCATTAAACTCTTACAGTACAGATGTCAAACACGTGGCTGCAGGTTGCTCCCTTCGTGAACCACATTAAAATGTAATGGGGAAATATTTAACAAAATAAATAACAATACACAAGAACACAGACAGTGTTAATGCAGTTTTCTAAGCCAATACGTAGCCCACAGGAATCCTTTTATATGGGTTAGTCACCCCCATTTCTATTTGAGTTTGACACCACCACTTTACAATCTGGGTCCACTTGACCTTGTTATATCCTACTGTACTTCATACACTCTGTATTCCAGCCAAACTGCCTTATTAGGTGATCTTCACACACAATAACCTGTATCTTCTCTCAGTCTACAAATAGTCTGTCTGCTATATCTGGAATGTACTCCCTCCTCACTTTCTCTTCTTAGACACCTTCAGATGCAGCTCAAATGTCATTTTCTAAAGAAAATTTTCTTGATTCCCTCCCCATGTTAGTACATTTACAAAAAAAAATAAAATAAAATCCTACAAAGCCTTGTACATAATTGCATTTTCTTATGTTTATGTGTGTACTCATAGGGCAACAATTACTTCATTCATATCTTTGTATCATCAGCTCCCTAACACAGTGCTTGATACATAATAGATGATCAATGATTGATTGATTAGAAAACATATATTGAGTTTTCTAAAGACTATCTTAAAATTGAAAATATGTAGGTGGTCAGAAATTTCATTTATTCTATAAACAAACTTTAAAAAGCAATGTCTGCCTTGAGAAAGTTGCTAGACATGGCACTGAGAGCCAGAAGATATAGGTTTTGCTCTCAAGGAATTTGTAATATCTCTGTCTACAGTAAAAATTTATTTTAAGGAACATGCAGCCCTGGAATGCCCTTAGACACACTCATGCAGGCAGAATACCTATAGTGTACTCAACATGGTACTCATACTGTCCCCTTCTCTTCCTCTGAGCCCCAACCTTCCTTTAAGCTGATGAAAGCCTTTAACTCACAACCATCCTTAACAGGGCACTGGGAAAGTAACACATTCTTTGAGCAAGAGGGAAATATTACCAACATTGGACTCATCCAGTGACAAGCAATTCCCTTATTCCAAAGAACAGCAAAATTCCTCAGGTTGACTCTCTGGGCATGGTAGACATGCCCAGACAAGTCTTCACTCAAAAGGATTCAACTTTCTCCGATCAGCTTCCAGAAAAGCAAAACCTCTTCTTCAGAAAGCACAGTTCATGGTAAAACATGCAAAATTTGTCTTCTCTTTGTTTCTCCTTCTGAAACTACAAAGGTCAAGTAGAGGTGAGCCAGTAACTCTTTAAAGTTTCCCATCTCTAAGGTTAGATGGTGTTATAGAGCCATAAGCTAAACAGCTCTAAATATATCAGCAGGCTTTAGCTCTCCTCCAGTCAGCACAGGTGCTGAAATGCTCCCTCAGCTGAAGTACCCTTTCTGCAGTCAGTTATCAAAGCAGTGCCGGCCCCTCTTCCAGTCAACATGCTTGTCTATTAGCCTTCAATATCTTCTGCCTTCAGCTTTTTCTGACTCCCTCACCTCATCAGTTTCTTCCCCTACATCTTTCTTTCTTTTCCTCTAGCTTTTCTCTCTTCTGTCTTCTCTTGCCTTACATGTTCCAATGTCTCAAATCAGATCCTTCTGGTGGTCAGTTACTTATCTTTGCCTTAGCAAGTAAAACTCGAGAAACAGACTTTCAGTTATAACCCATCAGTCCTTGTAACATCTTCCCACAGTCCTCAAAAGCAATTTCACTTGTGACTTCACAGTTATAAACCTTAAAACTCTAAAACTAGAAAATGCAAAGGAGCCGATGGACCACAATACCCTGCAGCTAACATTATGCCAGTTGTTACTCTAACTTCAAAAAGGTCTTCTAGTATATTCATCTGAGGGGCAATTTTTTGGACTTCAGCAGTCTATCTCCTCAATACTGTTTCTTTACAAGTTGGTTTTATCAGTCTTCCATACATAAATGTTCTTTTTGATTCTCTTCAACAACCAAACTACTTACATACAAAGAGCAGAAGGGAGGCAATACTTTATATAAGTAACCAATGGAAAGATCACCAACTGTAGAGTCAGAGGACCTGGATTCAAACCTCATCTCATTTTCACTATCTGTGTGACCTTGTGCCATTTATTTAATCTTTCTTGTCTCCATTTCTTCATTTGTAAAATGAATGGGCTGATTGAACTATATGGCTCCTAATGTCCCTTCCTGCTCTACATATTGTAATCTTTTGATTTGTAGATATGTTAGTTATGATTACTTTTTTCTTCTAACAAATAAATTGATAAACAGAATCTTAGAATTAGAAAGGGCTTCATAAAACATCTACCCCTACCTCCCTTTGAATGCAGGAATTCCTTCTATAACATCCCTTATAGATAGTCAACCATCCCTTACTTGAACTCTTCCATAGACAAAGACCTCATTGCTTTATGCATCAATCTTTTCTATTATTAAACAGCTTGAATTGTAAGAAAGTTGTTCTTTTTAGTCAGTCAAAATATGATTCACTGTAGCTTCCGATAATTGGCTTAGTTTTATATTTGGTAATACATGCTGACATTTTTTTTGTTCCCTTTCTACATGCTAGTCTTCCACGTTTTTGAAATTACCTAGATTTCCCCAAAAATCTTTTGACAGTTTATTATATGCTATTCAGAGTGCTTACCAATTATTTATGATCATCTGATTTGTCTCATTCTTGCTCTGCTCACCTTAAATACAGTATCAGTCCAGAAATGAACACAAATAGAATCTGACTTTGAGAGACCCCAATGGACACTAAATACAGACAAGACATCTGAATGACAATTCCAGTTCCAACAAGATACAACATGTGTAATTCTCAAATTGCTTATGTGTATATATAATAATATATAATATAATAACACTTTTATTACCTCTCTCTCTAAGACAGCTAATGACAGGAAGTTGTAGCTAGGTGCCACAATGCATAGAATTCTACCCTAGAGTCAAAAAGTTCTGAGTTCAAATCTGCCCCCAGACTCTTCCTAGCTATGTAACTCTGGACAAGTCACTTATTCTATTTACTTCAGTTTCCTCAACTGTAACATGAGAAATGTAAAGTATTTAGCACAGTGCTGGGCACATAGTAAGAGTTATATAAATACTATTATTACTGTAAATAATTTAAAAACCAGAGTTTTCTTGATCTGAGTACCACCTGTCCTTTCTAATACTATAATCTGTATTAGCTAATAGGCCTCTTTAGTCCAACCCTGTCATCATACAGATGTGGAAATTAGAGCTTAAAAATGTTAAATGACTGTACAATGCCACATAGATAGTAAGAAGCAGAACCACTATTCAAACCTACCTCCTCTCCCTCTAGATATCATATTCCTTCTACTACACTGAACTTCATTAGGAGTGAGATTAGACTAGAGCCTGTAAAGTCCTTTCTGATACTTAAGATTTTATACAGCTTTTCATTTGCTAAAATGAAAAAAAATTTTAGATAATAATTTACTTGTTTAAGATCTTATACCCTGGGAGGGAAGAATATATATATATATACATATGTATATATATATATATATATATATATATTATATATATACATATGTATATGTATATATATACATATATATATACATATATATATATGTATATGTATATATATATACATATATATGTATATGTATATGTATGTGCATGTGCATGTGTATGTATGTATGCATGTGTATATGTATATGCATGTGTATGTATATGTGTATATATGTATATACACACATATATACATATGCATACGTATACATATATACATATGTATGTGTGTATAAATTAAAGACCATATTCTAGCTACCTATAACATAATTTATATGTACATGTACTGTGTATGTATGTATACATGTACATATGAGTATATATACATTTCTCTGTATATACACATACATATATGTGTATATATGTATATATGTGATTTAGTTACTATACCCCAACATATTTTATTTGATGAAGAGATTAGAACTATAAAATGTTCAATTTACTGAGAACTATTAATTTTCCATTAGTTTCTAGAAAGTAATTGGGGCATCATAAGGTGAGTATATCCTGTTTATACTTTTTTAAGTATAAAAAAGCGAGCATTCAGACAAACCCCAACTGGTCACTAATATCACAGGAAGCAAAATAGGATATTTGCAAGGCATAGAAGTTCATGATGGAAACACCTCCATTGCAATTTCAGGACTAACAATTTTCCTAGTTTAAACACCTAGATTAGTCTCAAAGTGACGATAAGACAGAATCTATTTCATATAGTATAACATTATCAAACAGCTGGAGGGCCTTTCTGAGATCAGGACAGTGCAGTTCTCATTATGAGTGTATCAATTCTCTCCCTCTTCCCACAGAGCATTCATCATCATGCTGGAGCTTGTTTTCTCAATATCTCTCACATAAGCATAATTGCTGGAAGAGAGAGAAAACCACGCACCCAACAGCAGTTTCGAAGAAATCCTAGGGTTTTTCTTTTGCAAGGAACACACCATAATTCCACAGTGGCATTTCCAATCACATACCCGAAAAGGGCCAGCAGGAGGGCAGTGGCTGCCAAGTTCTCTCGGAAAGTGAAGGCTGTTAGCTTGAAAGCAACAATAACTCCAATACTCAGGCTGACTGAAACCAGGTAAAATAGCTTAAAGAAAAAAACAGCAAACAGCAGATCAGATGAGTTCTTTATCATTATCTACTTATCTTGGAGGGGCCCCTTCATCTTGCATTCATAATATTTTCCTTTCAAGACATTTTATGCATGAAGGTTATCCTCCCAGCTGAATATCTATAATTTTGTATCTGACCTGAGCAAAAGCATTTAGGAGGCCTTGAGTATAATATTTAAGGGCCTACATTTTTTAGGAACGCATTATGAACCAAAGAACTTATTTAAATCATCAATTAATTTAAATAATTATACATTTCCTAAGGAATGTGTATTATTTTAAAAAATTTGAAATGGTTTGATAGATATTTTTAAATTTTGGTCAATATCACATGACTAAGGTTATGTTATCAAGCTTTACTATGCATATGGGTCAATACTATTTGAAAGATGACTGAACACCTTTTTCTCATTCACAGGACAGTGCTAATATTGAAAATCAAGAATGCATATTAATGAGGAAGACTCTTCATAGCACTCAAGATTTTTTTATGTGTGTTCAATCCCTTAGAAATGAAGGGAAAAAAACCCAGCACATACATCCATCAATTCCCTGTTGATTATCCTTTCAAATGTCAAAAGAATTCATCTAAAAGTTTTTCTGTACTAACTGAATCAGTAAATGGGAGCTGAAATTCTGTACATATTTACTTAGTTGCAATGAGACCAGAGGTCAAATTGGAGAAGTTATACATTAAGAAGAAAAGACAGTTCTAATAATTTTATACAAGCTTTAAAAGGCAATAGAATTTTTTATCTGACCTCACTTTAAGTATTCATTCGATGGTTACTTTGCAAGCTGCAGTATATCAGAACATGATTTTGCTGGTTCTAAAATACACTTCAGAGCTAAAAGAACACTTATACATGATCCAGTACAATCCCTTCCTTCATTTTATGGAGGAGAATGTGGAGTCTAGGGATGGTGAGTGAGTTGGTCGAGATCACGGAGGTAATAAGGAGCAGATCAGGGCTTTGAACACAGGACTTGGCTCACTCTACTCCCAGGTGTTCTTTCCTCCAGTGGGAAAAGCCACACTTTATTTATTGTTATCTATTTTGAAATGACAGTGTTGTTTATCTGGCCATGGTTATTGATTGATGTTTTCCCCAAAAGAAATGATTGTGCTACAAATCTTAGAAACTCCTGGGCATAGCACAGAAATCTTTCTTCTGAAAGGAGAGTGAAAGGCCAGGAAGCAATGAGGCAATTTGAAAGTAAGCCTAGATGTGCTTAAGAAGCAAGCCTCATTCAGTTCTCAAGACAACCCAGATGCTAGCAAAGGTTCTTCTGGTTGGGGTAAATGTTTAACAACTGGCTTTCTCAGTTAAAAAAAAAAATGTGTCTGTAACATGCCTTTAAGCTTAATGTGCCTTAATAGCATTTTCTCCATCATTTTCTTAATTCAAGACAAACAGCAAAATAATAAATCAAGCCCTAATTGGCAGCATTTGCTGATTTCTGAGGTATAGCTATTTGCACTGAAAATTTAAAAATCAGTTTTGCTGGGCCTGTATAGGCCAGCACCAACACACCCCTAGAAGAATAGGAAGTAAAAAATACACAGTCTGCAGTTTGCTTGAAATTTAGAGTTCAACCGGTAAGTGGGGGAAAATGCATCCTTCCAGATCTAGATGCCAATTTATTGTTTAGGAAACAAGCTTCCTTCCATTATAACAACAATTTAAAAAAAAACAAACTGACACTAATATAATGCTTTAAATTCTATTAATTAATTTCCCTAAAAAATCTGTGAAGGACAAGTATTGTTATCCCAGTTTATAGACAAAGAAATTGAGTTTTAGAAAGGTAAAATAACAACCAGAGTCACATAGTTTCTAAGTGACAGATGAAAACTCAAGTTGTCTCTTCATATATGGCTTAGAGAGCCATCAGCAAAATTGGAGAAGGCTGATGATGCCTGTGGTTGCATGTACAGTCAGCCTTAAGACCTTCTAAAGTGGGGTTAATTTTAGCTGAAAATCTGAGTTGTGTGAAGCCCGTCTCCAAATTCCTGGTGATAAAAAAGGACAGTCATCAGTTTCCTCCTCTATCAAATGAAGGGGTTGGACTAAATGATCTCTATGGCCCGTTCCAGCTCTAAATCCTATGAGTCCTTTGGAAACCTACCTATTTATCTGTCACATACTGAAATAAAACTATAAACACTGTCCATGAAATTGCACCTTATTTTCTAAATTGTCTGAGGTAATCGGATCTCCCAACCCACTTAGCAGCTAGCCCATATCCACAAATCCTATTTCAGTAACATACCATATCATAAATGAAATTAGTAAACCAATAGGTCCTATAGCCAAGTCCACTGATGTGCTGCAACCTCTTCGCTCCACACACTCGGTCTTTTACTATGGAACTGCCAATCGATGCTGTGAGGATTGAGAAACCCAGCATGATGCAGAGTGCAACTCCACACTGGCGGACACTCTCCAGTCTACAAGCAAAGTAAAAACAGTCAGGGCTGCATTTGATGAAGTACAGACTTCTGAATGCATGTCTTTTCACTCATTCATTCTTCAGTGCTTCTAAAGTTAAAGTGGGAGCATCATCAAAATGAAAGAAGAGTAGGCTTAAAAAGGTATCCCTATTTCTTTTTTACTTAGAATTAAAGCTAGTGACAAATGGAATAGTGACAATGATTATGCTTAATCTTGTGTATATAATTCCAGATGCCTTATAAATCTCCTTCCAACTCTTGAGTTCCTGGGATTTTCACCTATATTCAAGTATTACTATAGAACACTACTAGTACATAATGAAATTCTATATAATATTCATATGTTTGGGCTCAAAAGTATTTTCAATAATCATCCACTGGTAAAACAAGGGAAAAGTTCATTAAGATCTAGCCGTTCCTATAACATATACTCCACTGACCTTACTATAGAAATATTCTAGGGTAATCATTATTGAAACCAGCATCAACTATGAATATAAAATTAGTTATTAGAAGGGGAATAAAAGTTTAAGGAGAAGAATTATCAGAACAAATGAAGATTGTATGTGTTACTTAGACATATAACTCTAACATGAACCTCAAAATTTAAAGACAAAGCATATTTTTCTTGTATAAGGGAATGAACATTGACAGTTCCCTCATCTGGGGCATATGTCAACTGCTGAGAAAAGGTAAACAACTCAGCAACTGATTTTCTTCTTTATATTTTCATGTATTATTGCTTAGAGGTAGAGAAAATGAAGAAGAATGCTGAAAAGAAAGAGAAAGTTTTTCGCCAACTTTGGGATAGCAGTAATCACATTTTCAAAATAAAATAATATTCCTAAAGTTGTCAGTATCCTTTAAGCTGGAGTGATGGATAACTACTGTTGTTGTTGAGGAAGTCCAGCTGAGCAGAAGAATTAGGTTGGGATCAGAATATTCACCAAGCAGATTGACTCATTTAGCTGAGATGTCATGTCCCATGGGGGTTAATCAGGCACAATATGGATAAACTATGCTTTGCAATAGAAGTATCTTTTCAACAAATAATCTTAACTTGTCAAAGAATTTTTATGAACCTTTCTTCATGTAGAAAGAGGACATAGAGGTTGGCTATTCCAGACTTGTAAATTACCCTGAGGTTTTTAGTTTTCCCAATTATGTGATTTCCTGTCAGGTTTCTGTGTGTGCCCATTCTTTCCCACAAATAATTAATGTATTGATGGAAGCGTGTGACTCAGGATCATGTGTGGATTGTGTTTGTTATTCCTCTATTTGCTTCAAATGAGTATCCTGATATTAAAATTATTCTTGTTTTCAACTTATTAAGTGCATGGTTATATTTAACAGCGAACTGTCATCATTGTGAATGGACAGGGTTTGTGTAACTGAAAATCACATTAGTGGTGCTTACTAAGAGCTAACGTGGTAAGTAATCAGAGTGTTTTCCTCCACAACACATTATTTCTAGGACAAAAAGAGGTTTTATTTATGGCATTCTAGCAGCAGTCCTCCTTTGGGATCCCAGATCTTCCAGTGTGAGGGAATAATGGGGTGAACAAGCCAGACCAAAGATTGCATGGGCCATAAGAATTTGGTGTTCTTTGTTAGGAATTCCACATAGGTATGACATTTCATAATTGTTTTGTCTAATTAAACAAAAGAAAAGCATCTCTTTAGCATCTCCATGTCATCCCTGTGCATATACATGTTATGTTACTACATTAATACCTTTTCCCTCTCCTGAAATGTAAGTTCCATGAGATCAGGGACCATGTCTTAACTTAGATTTTGTCTCCCTCTGCCCCCAGTACAGGGTTCACACATAGTAGGAACTTAATAAATGTTTGATAAATGAAAAAATGAATAAATGAACATGTATAACCTCCCACCCTGTCCTGATTAGTGAGAATTTGCTATATCTCGCCAGTGCTACCTACTTGACAATGCTTCCACATCATCTTCCTGCCATGTCACCATGTGAGAGACATCATTATACCCTTCTAACTGAACCTCTAGCTTCTCTCTGGGTCCATACTGTCCTGAGAGGGGAGAGTTTTACTTTAATTGGCAGCTAGTCTCCTTAAATCCCATTCAAATTCGACTCTCTTGCTCCAGGAACAGTAAGCAAATGAATGGTACTAATGCTTCTTGAAAGGACGCGTCAATAAAATGCTTTATGATTCTATTCATCATTTCTTTGAATTCATGAGCTAAAGCAAGCCCCTAGATATTACCCTTGTTTATATGTTGTCTCTTCATATAAGAATGTAATTTCTTGAGGGCAAGAATCATTTCTCTTTTGCATTTGTATCTGACACATAGTAAAAGCTTAATAAACACTTTCTCATTAGTCGTTCATTCATTCATTGTCCATTATCTTCCCTATTCATTTTGTTTTTATTAGTAATACTACAAATATGAAAGTCAACATTAAAACATATTGAAGAACAAAACAGTAACTATAAAAACTGTCTCATTTAATTTTTAGTTTGTCTTTTGTTTGTATGTTTTTGTTTTTACCAGATAGAGAAAAAGAAATCTGTATATCTCATCCAAAGTAATCCCCACAGTATAAGTTAGGAGGAAGGTATATGATTTGAATTTATTTTTAAAGAGCATATATTTCTTAATTTCAAAAATAAAGTATTTGAAAGTAAGGAAAAAGCCAGAGAAATTTGTTGTTTATTCTCAAAGAAAAGACTTAAAGGAAGTCAACAAACTACTCCTAAATTCCATCTATTTATTAACTCACTATACAATGTCATTTCAACTTACATTTTGTCTTCATTCAGTAAGGTTCCTCCGTATGGGTGGCTATACAGTGTTATTCCTATAGAAGAAATGTCAAAATATGAGTATTATTACTATTATATGTATATTATTGTGTTTTGTATAAGATTGTTTGTAACAGAAGATGCAAGACAATATAGATTCCAAGATCTCTACCCCTTCCCATTTCAATGTGTGATTCTTATATCTGTTTTCTCATAAATCCTTCATACAAGATCTGCCCAAAGTGAATAAAACCTTCTTATTATTCCTTAATGTCCAATGATTATCAATGCACAACAAGATTGTATCATAAGGAAATTATTAGTCCTCCAGAATGTTAAAATAAGAAATAAATAGCTCTAATCAAACAACATCCAAATTTGCTTCAGTTTCTCAGGACAGAAATTATATTCTAAAACCCAATGGAACACAGAAGTATTGGACATTGGCAACATTTTGATATAGACTAAGTTTGCCTTGATAACAATAGCATCTTTTTTCAAGTTCACCAAGAGCTGATAAATTAATCTTCCCTGAGGTGTTAAATGGATGATAAATTGTTTAAGGTGTTACCCTTCCAAGGGTATTTGCAAATTAAGTTTGGAGACAAAAATGATTTAGCACAAAAAATAGAATATAAACCTCAGGGTAGAATTTAGACACTTTGACAGGCTATTGGAACTTAATGGGGGAGAAAGGAAGGAAAGAATGGAAGGGGACTCACACAAATTACATGCGTATGCCACTGTCATATTCATTCATCCTCATATAGAAAGGTTACTAAATGAGCATACATGGAATACAACACAAAAAGAACAGAAAGGGAACATGACACAATTGGAAAAAATAGATCCACTCAGAGACCATGAAAACACAAAGTTAAGAGTAGAGGAAAAAAAACTTCTCAGCAGGGAATACATTTCTCAATAAACAAATTTCCACTTGAAAAGCCATATCCAAGAAAAGAGCATATTCTTACTGTAATGCCCCTCACTCCTTGAGAGTATTCCAGTCAAGGTCTTCCCCAACATTCTTTGGAGCATGTGCATATTCACTGCCTGCTCCCCAGAAATTGCAAAGAAACTTGAACTTCTGAATCATCAACTGATAAAGATGATGATGACTAGGATTATAACTGACATTTATATAGAACTTTAAGCTTTGCAAAGCACTTTATACATCTTATCTAAGTTGATCTTCATACCATCCCCATTAGTTAAGTGTTATTATTACTCACATGTTATAGATGAAGCATTTGAAGCTGAGAGTAGCTAAGTGATTTGCCCAGGATCACACAGCTGATGTCTGAGGGATAACTTGAACTCATGTTTTCATAACTCTAAGTCCAATACTGCGTCCCCTAGGCCACCTAGATATCCCACCTCCTCCCCAATAATTTCTGACCCAGAAAACCTGATGACAAAGGGTGCTACACCAGGGGAGAAAAAAAAAAGCAGCTTCTAACTGAGGGTCTCTTAAGAGACAGTTATCAAGAAGGGAAGATGTGACTTCAGTTGTGGATGGAAGAAGAAAGAGCTTTCTCTATCTTGATATAATAGAGGGTCAGGTGCGATCTGATAAACCCACTGATAAAATAGTGGGTCAGGAGAGATGGTGAGGAGAGGTGTGTGTCTCTCCTCCACACTATATGAAACTTGAGCTTAACTGGCCAGGGTTATACTAGGGCCCTCTGAATGTCTTGCCTTTCTTTTTGTTTTTCCTTTCCTCTAGGATCAGCCTAGAGTATATCAAAAGGTCCTGGAAGGCCAGATAGTATTCAAAAGAAGCAATCATGGTTACTGGAGCTATGACAAATGCAATAACCACAGAAATGGACTGAAGACAAGGAAAAGAGTAATCATCAGAAAGGAAAAGAGGAGATTATGCTTGACGTTTGATGTAATGGTGCTCAGCTATGCTGAAACGTAAAATAGCTAATTAACCACTTAGCAAAGTAACTATTTGTTTTCCCAATGGGGCTTGAATTGTACTAGATTAAAGATTAGATGTCCCAGAATAAGGTTTAAGTAGACTAGAAAGGTATGAGGGGGCTAGATCTACATATTTATATACTTATAAGTACATACAAATTACATACAAAATAAATATAAGCTAATTTCATGGTACAGAAGGGCACTAGCAGCTGGAGAGAAGAGGAATCCAAAATGGCCTAATGGAAGAACTGCTGTTGGTGCTAAGCTTTGAAAAGAAGCTAGGGATTCTCAGAAGCAGCTGTAATAACCCTCATTAGAGCCAAATGCTTAAAATGGCTCCATTTTGAGTAACCATTTTATTTCACAATTCCAAAAGAATAAACAACTTCATATTTTTGGATATGTCAATGTTCAAGTATCTTTAGGTTTTGAGTACAATTAAATAATTAGCAGTAGGAGATAAAATGCCAAGAGAGGAATCTCTGAGAAGAACCTATTCAGTTCTCCTTTCTCCTTTTATTGATATAACTCACTTCAACCATCCTATATTTTCACAAGCTGTATATAGATGCCTTTCAGTCCACCAAAGTTTGTCTAATAAGTGTCAAAATGAGAAATCTGTGTGTCCTGGGAGGGGGAGGATATTAAAGTGTCTTGCATGTGTGTCCACTGGAAATTTTTAAGCCTTAACCATAATACATGTGACTTGAGTTAGAGCAAAATAAATATCCATATGAAATAGTTAATGGGTAGTTTGGTAATCAAGATAATATATTTATATAGGATAACATTAAAAATTAACCCCTATTGCTTCTTCCTGCATTTTGTATCTTTGATTGTGGTTTGCCTTACCTATGGCTAGATCTGGGTCTCCACATCCCCATTCCTTACTAATCATACAAGTTAGGAAATCCCATATTCTCCAGAAAACCTTCTCCAATTGGATGAGTGATGATCATTAGCTGAGATAATGCTCATTTTTATCTCCACTCAACAAAGTTTTAATAAGTAAGCTAAATGCTATATTTACAGCATCATGCATCAAGATAAAAGCTACCACTTATATATTATATAATGCCTTAAGGTTTTCAGTGTTTAAAAACATTATCTCATTTCAGCTTCCCTACACCCCTAGAGGTAATTATTATTATCCCAATTTGACAGACAAGGAAACTGAGACAGGCAGAGGTTAAATAATTTGCCCATGTTACAAAGATGGTAAATATTTGACACTGGATTTGGACCTATGTTTCCCTGATACTAGGTGAAGCATACTAACCACTGAGCAATGTAGCTGCCTTTATGATTTATATAGGGATACATAGATATAGGTGTGTATATATATATGTATATATATATATATATATATGCATACACATATAAATATATGTATACATGCATATATGTATAAGTACACAAAATCTCATTTAACCATAATATGTAAGAGAATTTCATCATGTCATCCCAGCGTATGTGGGAATTCCTTAAGATGAAATCACCTTACCTGAAAAAGGTACTTTATCCTACTGGTTTTTATAATAGTGATTTCTATGTAAAGGTTCACAAAAGGTTAAGTTCTGACATAGCTGAGATTTCTTTAATTTTAATCTATAATAAAAATTCAGTTTTGAATATAATCCTTTTATCTGTTACAAATGTATGCAAATTATTCAGTAAATGCCTACAAGTTAAATAAATACTAGACGGAAGAAAAAGGAGTGAGGTCTCCTCATGAAGATGAAAAGGTCATAGAGTGGAAAAAAAAAATTCCCCTTAATAGGAAAAGGCTGATCGATGGGTTTCATGATCATCAGAAACATTGTATTATGACTTAACTAATTCTCTCTCTGTCTCTCTCTGTGTCTGTCTTTCTGTCTCTCTGTCTTTCTCTCTGTCCCTCCCTCCCTCTAAAGGAACAAGGATGTGATGGGGGAGGGGGATTTGTAAAGACCAACTAGGACCTTATTTCTGAGAAGTAGTTTAATGGGAAATTAGAGATATTTTGTTCAATATAATAAAAAACTAGAGGGAAGCCACCTGTGTTGTTAATACAAAAATAGTCATAAATCCCCAGATCCCAAGAAGGTTCTAAGTTAAAAGATTCTACTTTTAATTTATTTCTACTTAAGGCTGGCTATAGAATCAGGGTCACATTATACAGTGACTGAAAACAGTTCAACATTTCGCGAAAATAATAACTAGGCATTTACAGTTTGCTCCACTTGTGATCCTTTTAAAATATCATGGTTAGCTTAATATCTGTTTATGTTTCACTACTACCTTTCATGAAGGCTATGAGCTTAGCAAAAGCAGAAAGAAGTACCCTGCATCTCACATCTCTGTACCTTTGGGATTCTGTGTCCCATACCTGGAATACATTCCCTTCTCACCTCCCAATCTTGAGATCTTTTGTTTTCCTTCAAAGTTCAACCCAATTGCCATCTTCTACATTAGGAGTTCACTGATCTTAGCTGTAAGTGCCTTCATCTGTCCAAAATTAACTCGAATTTATTATGTATATGCTGTGCGTATATGAAGGTATGTATAGGTTGTGTGCTCTCTCCTAGAGAATGTAAGCTCTTTCTGGTCAAGGACTATGCCATCTGTGCATTCATATTCCCTATTCCTAACATTGTCCCCAGTACATAACAGGTACCTAATGAATGCCTGACTGATTTGTGCTTAGTTATTTTATAAAGGTCTCTATATTTTATGTAAAAAGGAGAATTGAGCAAATTCATACATTTTTACAAACTATGGTATTATAGAGAGGCAACTTAGCATACTAGATAGTTGGCCTTGGATTCAGGAAGACCTAAGTCCAACTTCTATCTGTGCAGGCCATTTCATTTCTCAGTACCTCAGGAAACACAGTAATATGCATTGCAGAAAAGTAGCTGGCCTGCATTGGTAGAGGGAGATTACTGACCAGAATTCCTTACACCAATGAAGTCACCAGTCTACAACTAAAAAGGGAAGAGGGGTAGGGGGGAAGGTGTTGACCTAGCTACTTACCACAAAACAAACAAAATAAAACAAACAAAAAAAACACTAATTTTTTAAAGTACACCTGGTGGCAGCATATCCAAATTGCAGAAAAGGGGGAAAGTGAATCTTGTATGAA